ACCAAGAATGGAATGTAAGAGCAAAAGTTGGCTCGTATGTTGAAGTGATGTAGTTTTTGGGTAACCTCGAATTGCGAAGGGTTGTACTTCAGTCGTAGTTTATTCCTACTCACTCCGAACTGAGTCTTGCAGGTGGTTTACATGATGAATTAATTAATAAAAAAACTTTATTTATTCTTTCGAACAAACTTTTATTCGAGTCCAAGAAAATACAGTTTTTCTCCCGGACCTAGTTTTTAGTCAGTTCCAATAGATCTGGACGCATTGAAACCTCCAGCAACTATTGCCTCCTTGAAGAATCCATGGGATTCATAAAACTGGTCACGATAATAATTTGTATATTTCTCATTAGAAAGCAAATTATTTAAAATAGCTGCTGTTGACGTCTTCATGAAGAAATGTATTAATTATTTGGTATACGATTTGATCGGAATCTGGTTATGATCTGAATCGAAAATTATTATGAGTTTTCTTTTTTAGAGAACTCATTTCCAAGATGCAGGTCCATTTACAGTAATCTGTCTCAGATTTTGACAATGATGGTAAAAATTATAGTTCATTGACCTTAGTTATCGACCTTTAATTTCTTAAAGAATACGTTTTTCGCTTAGATGCGTGTTTAGTTGTAATACATAAAAAAGAAATTAGATAAATCTGGATTTTATGGCTGTAAATAATTTTCTCTCGGTGACCCGTGTTAGCATTTTTTTTACATGTCTGAACCCATACCCAGGGTGTCCCGTAAGTAGAGATAAATATTTAAAGAAGTGATAGCAGAACTCAAGAAACACTAAAAAAGGTTCGATTTTCAGCATTAAAGTAGGAAATTAAGTTTTGTGGTTTTTTAAGGAAGTCGCGTTTTTTGGTGAATAGTGATACCTGAAAAACTATTTAATTTAAGCAATTACCGATTACTTCACTGTAAACTAGATAAAATTTACTTTAAATAAAAATAGAGTATGCTTTTGTTAAAACCATTTAAAGAGGACTTTAGAGCGGTGAAACTGAGCTAAGGAGTGGGGGAGATGGATAGTGGTGGGAGAACAGGTAGGGGTGGGGAAACAGGTAGAGGTGGGGGAAGGTGCCCTTCCCCCTTAGAAAATTCCTGGATCCGCCACTGTCAGATGGTATCCTGAAGTCTATATGGTTACGAGTCCTCGCTCAGAATATCCAGGCTATACTAAAGGAAACTCAAACAACTCCTGATTGGTTATGTTTTTACCATTTAAAATTTAAAGAGAAGGCCAAGAGATGTAAAAACCTTTGTAACTTGGAGAAGAAGACAGGACAGGATAAGGGAAAATGGAGAGCGGACCGTAATTCGCGTAAGCCGGATCCGCGGAAGCCCAACGCCGCCTATTCATCACAGATCAGCGAGCGGGGCAAACTTTTCTTATCGGTAGCTGGTCAGCTATATCCGTTATGCCACCGGGATCCAAGTTCACAACAGAAATTTTTTGTTTTTATGGGCCCAATGGAACTATAATTAGGGCATCTGTAGCGAAGCATTTGATGCTCAATCTTGGTTTCCGAAGGGAATTTCCTTGGACATTCATTCTTGCCAAAGTTCCCAAGCCCATGATCGGTGCTAATTTCATGTACAACTTCAACTTGTTAATCGATCTGAAGGGGAAAAAGTTCATTGATAAAACTACCGGGGTTTCAAAACGAGGAAGAGTTTCCAATGAGTAATCCTTTCCATTTCCTCTATACCCAATAATCACCCTCATGCTAAACTCCTTCAGTTTCCAAGACTAACATGAACGTCACCGACGAAAGAAACAACTAAGCACCAGACGGAGCACGTCATCGATAGTAAGTTGTCTTTGTTTTTGAGAAATTTGGTAAAAATCAGGGTTCGTTGACCGTGGGTACCGACCACTTAACCAAATTAATTATTAATGGTATTGTTTAAGTGCTCGTTCGACGCACAATTTACCGTTCTCTAATTTCTTAAAGAGTGCGTTTTAGCTTCAATGCACTGTTTAGGAATTATAGATAAAAAACAAAACAAAAAAGAACTAACCAATCTGGCTTTTTTGACTGTAATAAAAATTTACATTAGGGGCCCACATTAGGAATTTTGCTTTTTACATGTTTGAACTCATATATTCAACTTAAAAAAATAACTCTTCAAGTTAAAACTTCTCCCACATATTTCATAATAAATTTCCCGTTTCGGTCATTAATTTATTGACCTAATATTCTTTAAATCAGTCACCATTTTTTCAGTTAGCATGATCCGAATGGCAGACTATAATTTGTTTAATATATATATTTTAAAAAAAAAGGTTTTGAAATTTTCATCAGATGTCAAGTTTTTTCCACGGGCTCTTGGATTATATGTAAATACCTGAGGGTAGAATAACTCAAGGATGCCCAAGAATGTCATACCCGGAATATGTCGATCACTTGTGTAGAAGTATAAGAGAACTTCTCTAGCTAACATAAAAGAACAGTGGCAGTTGTGGCTATACCCTTTCGCTAGGGTAAATGCACCAGTTGCTGGCATGCTTAAAAAAATTTCTTTGAGCTTTTAGGTGTAAAAACTTAAATACTGATGTTTTTTATTATAAGAAATGAAATAGGTTTTGTTATCTATATACATCTTGCGTTTCGCAAATTAAATATTAGTCATTATCTAGAACCTGTTTCTGGCGATAGCAAAACCTATTTTTGCTTAATATTTAATCCAAATCATTAGATTTTTTTTTTTTTTTTTGTAACGAGAGAGTAGTGAATCGTTCCATTTTTAAGACCCGTTATTTTAAGTATATCTCTTCAAATTTATGAGAAAACAGAACTGCCAGCTTCTGGCAAAAGGCTCCATTATAAGATTCCAGTGGCTGACACCCATTAATTTTCAATTCCTTCATCAATATAAGTTAAAAACAGGTAAAATATAATCTACAAGCGCTCCATGAAAAAATATATGTTCCTATAAAAATATAAGAAAAAATTTTTTTTTGGATAAATAAAAATAATTAAAGAGAAAAAGCCAAACCTAAGGTATGGTGTCCTCACTTATAGATGGTTGTTCCTGGGACACTAAGTATGTTCCTTAGTTTCTTTTTAGTTCCTATATTAACGACCTCCATGACTCAATTCTCCATTGTTCCCTCCACCTTTATGCAGACGATTCTCAAATATACCTATCCTTTTCTCCCCCTGAGCTATTGGTAGCATTTACTAAGATCCAAGCAGACCTAGATCGAATCTGTGCATGGGCAAACTTAAACGGATTAAGGTTAAATGTTGCAAAAACTCAGGCCATTGTCATTGGTTTCAAGCCCCTCCTTAGATCCTATACCGACTTTCCCATACTAAACCTTGGCTACCAGCCAATCTCCTTCTACTCCTCTGTCAAAAATTTAGGACTATTTATTGATCAAACCCTCTCCTGGAATCACCATATTTCTCACATCTCCCGACGGACAATTTCTACCCTCAAACTATTCCATCGCTTCCGCCATCTCCTACCTCAACATACCCGTAGACTCCTGGTTTCCTCTTTCATCTTCTCCCACTTTGACTACAGCTGTGTTGTTTATGATGGACTCTCGGTGGAGCTCCGTGACAGATTGAAAAGATTAATGAACAGTTGCGTGAGATTTGTAATTGGTGCCCCGAGATACTGTCATGTCTCTCACCACTACACTGAGTTAGAGTGGCTCTTCCACTCCATTCGAAGACAATATTTCCTAGGTACATTCATCTATCATATCATCAACATTCATCGTCCTTCTTACGCCTACAACCTTCTCCAATTCAAGTCCTCAGTCCACTCCCTTTCCACAAGATCTCGACCTTCTGACCTTTACATTCCTTCTCACAGATCTGCCTCGTTCTAAAACTCCTTTATTGCTCGCTCTGTTAATTTTTGGAATTCCCTTCCTATCAAAATTCGGCATTCTTCATCCCTATCTACATTCAAAACCCTCCTATTCCAATTCCTGTCCCAAAAACAGTCAGATACCCGCTAACCTTTTATGTAAAATTACATATTATTCATAATAATGTATTCACATATAGCTCATAACTTAAATACTTATTATAGATTCGACTTTTTTTTTTTTTGCAACAGAAACGCAGAGATTACTGCTAAGAAGAATTTACATTTATTTTTTTCTGTATTTTTTATTTTTTCTAAAAGTGTATATTTATATTTTACCATTGTACATAGTTTTAAGTGTCTTGGCAAGGTTTCAAGAGTTTTGTATATAAATTTTTTTAGTTTATTTTGTATATAGTATGTATAACTAATATTTTCTTTACTGATTTATCTTTATCTTTACTTTTTATGTTTGTTTTTATTTGGCCAGATATAACATTTTAGTTTTGTAATTTTTTGTTATTCTGAAGGGACTTCGTCCCAGAATATAATTATTTTCTATTCTATTCTATTCTATGCAAACGTCAGGGATCTTCCTAATTTTTCACTCATTATTTCGGTTATGGTTTCCGGTGATATTAAAGCAAAGCAGACAAATATACAAGCAGAAAATGTGGAAACCACAAATTTATATAATAAAGTTGTAGGAGGTACTGAAATCTTATTCTTCCTATTTTTCTAGGAGGGTGTCAGGTATTGGTCAACTGTCAGTTGCAGGTGCTTTTACTCTAAAATGGTGACGAAAAAATGGAAAAGAATTACTTTAAAAACGATAATTAGTTACCTGAGTTTAAGTATAGCGTGACTTATGACACTTCAACTGCATCATTCTTGTCTCTTTCTTTTTGGATGTCGTGTTATTTTAGGTTTTACAATGGTGTTATGTCTCTCTCAAACTCCTTTTCATCCAGTGGTTTGACAACTTTTGTGATATAACAGTTTTCTAGCTAGCGTGCGATAATTAATGATCTAATATCAAAAAGTTCTAATTCAATGAAATGCTTTAAAACTGTTGAATAATTCTGAAGAGATCATAAACGATTTCAATACATTTATGGGTATAGTACTTTTTATTTTGATTGATGAAAACATATAAAAATAACTACAAATTTAATCAAAGTAAAATTATTTTATATAAAACTGAATGTTTTGTTTCGATATTGAAAACTATCGAATCGAAGGGCCGTGGTGTTCTACACCCCTGAAAGATAGTCAGTTGTTCATGATAAAATCGTGGTCTATTTTGGGCCTGCGTTGTTTATTTATGTGATAATGTTTTAGGGAATGTTTTGTTCAATTCAATACTTTTCTTGTTTTAATTTAAGTTACTTCGTAAGTTTCTTGAGGCTATTAAAAAATGTTTTAATAATTTTGTTTTAAGTGAATTTATATTAAAATATTTTTTTGATAATGATTGCATTTACTAGTTTTAACGTTGTTAATTTTAAAAAGCCGACCATTTAAGACATTAAAATCCTAGTATTGCTAATTTAATATTGTAATATTGAGGTTATTTTTTAATTTGAATGATCAGTTGTCAAACCACTCAATACTATGTTTTTACTGTTTTGTGAGAAAATATGTTTCTTCAATGTGATTTAATATCAAAAATGTTTTGTGCACTAACCTATTCAAATTACTTTTGTTCAATTTCTCCATATTTCTTTTAGATGCTTCTTATTTGGAAATACAATACTTCTGTTGAGTAATGCTAGACGAATGGAATAATGAATACTACTAAACTTTTAAGTTTACTTATTTTAAGCTTTTCATCGGTTGTATTAAGTGAAGATGATTTTCATATTGAGCAATTTAAAAGCCAACATCTTCAACGCTTATGGGGCATTCCTGATACCACTACTGAAATAGGTCATTTATTTCATTATGAGATTCCAAAAAATGCTTTTTATGGAAATGTAGCTAGATTTAAGGTAAGTAAGAACATTGACTGCTGTTTTATTATACTATTGCCTAGTTTTATTTTTTTTATGATAATTCAGAATTAGGTTAGTCACTTTTTTATCGTAGTGTTCATTACAATTTCAAATTTTAGACTCCAACCCAACAGATTTTAATATATTTCATAGTTAATTAAGTATATTTGTTGGCGAAGGGTGGTGCAATGTTTAAATTCACACTCCTAACTATTTGCTTTAGCTATAGATAATAGACTTATGTTTTGGATAATCAGTGGTAGATTGTCTCTAAGGTCTGCAGAGCTTTCTAGGACCTACTTAAAGGTGTCTTGTTTATATGAGCAAGCAAAAGCTAAAGGCTGTGTTTCATGCTATAGTTAAATTAAGATGTTAATTTTTCTTTGTGGTGTAATTTTATTTTGGGACCATCTTTAACTGAAATATTTGTTTGCCCTTTTTTTGTCACCTTTCTGGATTATGTAGCCTCAGTCAATAAGAAGCCATCGTGCAGGTCCTGAGCCAACTGTCTCATTAATGCAGGTGTCTCCTCTTTTTTCCTCTAACTTGTGAGCATCTAGTAAGCAATTATAGGTCTTCCTCGTTAAGTAATGCTTGAACATTGATCTTTCATTACCTTCCTTTAGTATTGGTTATAGCTCATCCTACTAACGTTACAAAGATTTTTATAGAGAATGTTTTGTATCATAGGAATTATTTCTAATTGCATGACTTTTTCTGGTACTTGTGTCCTACGCGGTTGGGTCAGAAACTCCCTTATTATCTTATCTTACATCAAGTAACCTCCTTTCTTATCTCATGTAAGCTCTTGTTATCCTTCTGTTACGTGTGCGTTATTGCATTATTTATTTTTTGTCATCTGTTGAAATGGATATTATTACACTTTGGGGATTTCCGGCTTCAGAAGAAGAAGCTATCAAATACTTTCAAATGTTCGGGATAATTCCAAAGGTAAAATTCTGTGAAGAATATCATGAAATAAAGTTTGACAGGAAGACCAAATGGATATGTTTTCGTAGCAGTTGTTAAAAAAACTTATCTTGGTATAAGCAGTTGTTAAAATAACTTAACATGGCTAGAGGGGTCAAGGATTACCTTTTTAATGGCTTTAAAATTTATTTATGGCTGGCTTCATAATTTAAAAACAATACAGTGGGTAATGGGTAATCCAACAAAAGTGTGGTAATGTGGAATAAGTTTTTAAGATAGGTTTATGCCCATAGCATGTTATACAGGTCAACTAAAAAAATAGGACGGTCTGAAAAAGTCGTTGAAGTAGACGAGAGTCTTTTTTTCTTAAAGAAAAATCGTGTAGGGAGAGTTCTCACTGAACAAAGCATGTTTGGCGGAGTTTGCCAAGAAACAGAGGAGTGTTTCATGGTAAAAATAAAGGACAGAAAAGCAACCACTTTATTAGAATGTATTAAAAATAATATAGAAGAGAGAAACACCATTTATTCTGACTGCAGGAAAGGATACAACACCCAACAACTTAACTAAGCAAATTATAATCATTTCCAGGTGATGTCTGTACATTGAATAGAATCAACCCGTTTCATGTTATCTTTCCGTTTCATACATTACAGACACAAAATTTACTTTTAAAAAATCTTTTGTCTGTATGTCCGCATTGTCCAACGAAATTTTGACATTATATTTAGGTTTGCTTGACTTAAAAAACAGTCTTTAAATGAAAACAAAATATTGAGTAGAACCAAAGTCATGAATTCTTGAGTAATTTGTCTAGAGACACCGGTTAGGCAGTTACTTACTTCAATTCTCATCCCAACCTACTGTACCGCGAGCCATATTTAAAAGTTGTACTATTCAACTGATCAATTATTATAACAAAACTTTTTTTTTTTTAAATTATAATAACATAATAAAAAAATTAATTTTTTTTTCAATTATAATAAATAAACATTTTTTATTTTTATTTAATCCCAATAATATAATACTTTGTACAATTTATTTTACAACTAGATGATGTACTCCTATCGTTGACTGGTGTACAGAAAAAAAATTTCACCCTGCCCCACATTATTCACAGGGTAGCGACCGACCTGGAAAACAGAGAAAACCTGGAAAAGTCAGGGACTTTTCAAAACTGGGAGAAGTCAGGGAAAAATTGTTTAAGTCAGGAAATTTTTTTAATTCGAAAATATTCTTTTTAAATTGGAATTAATACACAGTGGATTAATATAACGACCTTAAGAGACCTGGTAAATTTCGTTGCTATATTGTATAATTGTTATAGAGAACCAGACCATTTTCATGTTTATATTGTTATATAACCTATATCTACCCACTTGTCACTGTCAATAACGGTTCTGGCCGTTATATTGGAATTAAACAGGGGTAATGAAAAAAATGTTATCAAAATGAAATTAAAACAGTGCTTTTAAAAAAAAGAAAAATATAACAATTCTATTTACTATCTGTAAATAAACATCTATTCCTTGGTTAACTAAAGGAGAATGTTGGCAGCTACACATAATTCATGCTTAGGTAGTTGTAATATGCGAATAAGCAAAATGTCGTTGGACCGATCGGACTTTAAAACTCATTTTGGTCCTTAATTTTGATAATTGTTATGCACATCAACAGAATATACAAAATCTATGTAATATGTTTATACTTCCTAGTTCTGTTATAAAACAGTTAAATTAGCCGAAAATAAAGCATTGAAAAAATAAAAAGCACTTAGTTTATGAACGACAGATACTACAAGGGAAATACGACTTCGATTCTCTGAGCTTTAACAGCCATTCAATCTTCTTACATATTAACGTGTCTGTGTGAGGTACATATAAAACTTAATGCTCTTTCAAACTGATTATATTGAATTTCTTCGATAAATGCATAGATTATGAGTTTTGGGGAAAACCGACAAAAATAGACTTTTCTTGTGAAAAATGCAAACAGTCAATATTCTCTTAATGCTCACCCGTTAGCCCTACATCAAAAAGCTATGCATAAAATTAATAGTAAATTTTATCTTCTTTAACGTTGTATATAATAATAATTTCGATAAAATGCACAGTTTCGGAGTCAAGTCTAAAAAACTTAAAAAAGTTTGGGAATTTTGATGTTGCGTATATTTCTATACGCAATGGAACATTTCGTTCGGGAATGTCAAATTCAGATCAGTATCCCCCAAAAAACATAAAGATTGGTTGCATACGAATTCGCGTCGCTCCTCATGAAATAATTCTTCAAAATAATTCACCCATTGCTGCTCTTTGATCAATGGGAAGTTATCTCCACATCTTTTGGGATTTTTTAATGTCCTCCAAGTAGCACTAGACTTTTCTATATTCCCTCAGGTCCTTCTCATTTTTAGAGCTCAACCATTTATTGTATAAATATTTTTTCTCTATAACAGCCATTTCAGCATCCTCATTCCACCAAGGTTTGTTTTTTCCTCTAAACTCTTTCCTTTCCTCTCCGACAGCTTCTAAAGCTGCCCCATGCAGACACTTTACTATATTTTTATAATATATTCGATCATTCAGACCTTTCTCATGATTCAATTTCTCCATCAGTCACCTTTGGAACAGTCCTTTTACTGATTCTTGATTTTTCATACTTTCAATTGAATATCGAATTGTTTTCGGAGATTCTGAATTTTCTCTGGTCACTGGAGAGTTTCTAAGAAGATTATGGGGTTTAACATTCAGTATACTCTTTAAAAGAAAGTGATCCGAACCAGATTATGGCCCTCTCATCACTCTAACATCGTTCACCTGTATCCTAGTAGTGCGCCTGAGGATTATATAATCTATGATTGATTTTAGACCTTTAGTGGGCTGATGCCAGGAGAATTTGTGAATTTCTTTATGCTTGAAAAATCCATTTAATATGTCCATGTTTAATTGCTCACATAAACTTATTAATCTTGCACCGTTCTCGTTCCCACGGTCTCATCGTTGAACTTGCTGCCAACACATCCGTTAAAGTCGCCCAAACAGATAACAATCTTACGGTCAGGTATTCGCTCTATCAAGTCGCAAATATCATCGAAAAACGTGTATTTTATGGATTGCTTGGAATCTTCAGTTGGAGCATAGATCCCAAAAATAACAACTTCTTCTCCAAACAATGCCATTTGAAGTTTAATTATCCTTTCATTTACACATTCATAATTCTTAATATACCTGCGCAATCTTTTGTTAATTACCACTGCAACCCTTACTCTAGCTCTCACTTTTTTCCACTCCACTGTAGATATACATGAAATATCCTGAAAGTTCATTGTAACTTCCTTTGATTTTAGTTTCACTGAGGACTGCCACATTGATATTTTGCTTTTTCAGTTCATTTTGCACCTTGTTTTTTCTGGTCCTCAAACCTTAGAAATTCCATGTACCAAAAAACATGTTCCGTTTCCGTGCCTTAAGTCGTTGCCGATTAGATCCGTCCGGTTTTCTTTCTGTTTCGGGTTTGAAAGCGAAATATTTTTTTTCGATGAAGGGGTGCTGGCCCTACGATCAACCTTTTTTAAACTGCAAGGTCAGTGGTTTGATTTTGGGGTTGCCTTCCCCTAGACAGGTTGCCTAAAAACAAAGGTTTGAAGGGGTTCAAATGTCGCTATATACGATCATTTTTTCTAAAAACTCTAAGAAATCTCGTCAGTAAATCCAATCAATATATCCATTCAAAATCATATTATAAAAGCCATCTGAATCATCGAATATGACCTTTTCGTCTTTAAAGCCGATACCTCGTTATAATTGTTATGTACGATATTGTAATTCAAAGAAATTTTAATGTAAGCTGCAGCCTTGATTATTATAAGTCCTTCAATATTGTTGTAAACTATAAAACCACATCGCTTTTCCAACTTTGTAAAAATCTAATTTTAATAAATAGCTTTTTACGTTCTCCCATCAAGTGATCGAGAGATAAATAAATTGAAACTACAAATCATTATTAATTTCACACATTAATTATTAATACTAAAAATTCAATTGAAAAATCATTACCTCGTTCAAGACGACAAAAGTCCCAGGAAGTGATACGTCCAATGCTGGCTATGTATGATGCCAAAGGGGGTCATTTATGGGAGTTTTTTTTTATATTCAGTTTTGAACTCTGCATCAACCAGAAATTTAGTTTAGAGATATCCAATTGTCGATTAGTAGTATTGTTGAAAACTTCGATTTTACAGATAGTTCAGGAACGTTTGAGTTGCCTTCTGATTTTTAACTCTATGTTTAATATTGGCGAACGATAGATACCTTTATATTATTTAAATTATATTTTTATTTAAAGCATGTGACAACGGTAGTAGTCTTAGAAGTAAACTTGGGTTTATAAGGTTACCGGGAAACGTGTGTTTTACACAGCTTTAGTTTCCTCATGTCCAGTCAATGAATGCCCGAAAAAGGGGTAATAGAAAGAAGTTTGGGAGACTCAAATTTATTTTCCTTCAAAATTCGCCATAGTTGAAGATAGATATCTCACTAAGTGAGGTAGTGAAAAAATGTATAGAATCAATCATATTGCAAATTTTATCAGCTTTAATTTTGTATAGAATGTCTTTGTTGATGAGATGGATAGTTTTCCTGATATAAGTGAAACTCCGAAAAAAGTGACCTTCTAGGGGCTTCCTCCCTCCCCTTCCCCCACCTGGCGCATCACCTAGGAGTGGGGACTTTTAATATTTTTATTTCTTTACTAGTAAAACAATCTACCAAAGTAAAAAATTGTGTCCCTGCCATTTCCTTCTTTAATCATTCATTGATTGAACTACTCGGCTATCTCACCTCACAGTTGGTATCGTATGGATAATTATTGCTCTGTTTGTGACAATAAAAAAATTAAGTTGCCTTACATTAAAATAAGAATAGCCCGTAACTCAGTTTATTTCATAATAGATAAAAGCGTCAAGTATCAACTTTTACATTCTCTTACTTTATGAAAATAAAATGCTTAAAGTATCAGTAAATAGGTGATAAAAATTAATTACTTAAGGTCAGTTTTCTAAAATAAAAAAAAAATCCTAATCATGTTTAAAAAATGCTTCCTCTTGAACATTATATTTGTTTTTTAAAAGACTGAACAGACTTTTTTTACTCTAATCTTTCAATTTTCAATCATGTATGATAAATTAATTAGTTATAAATTATATATATAGTTATAGTTATAAACTATATATTTTTAACATTTGTGTCCCTTGACATATTGGTCAGGGAAAACTTTCATTGAACAGGGAAAGTCAGGGAATAGTCAGGGAATTTTACTTTGACAATTTGGTAGCCACCCTGTATTCAGACCAAGTTCTAATTTTACACGAATGTAGGTGACTCATTGTCCAATGTTGTTTTGCCAGCAATAAACTTAGCAGAGTTTAAAGAAGCGGAGAGACTACAACTCTTTTTGATTATTTCAATCGACTCCACAATCTTCTCGCTTCATCATAAATGAAAATCGGTTTAGTTGTGTGGCACATAAACAAATATCGCCAAATAATACAACTTTTATATATATATATATATATATATATATATATATATATATATATATATATATATATATATAATGAAAATGAAAAATGTAAAAAAAAATTTATTCTGGGACTACTGTCCCCTAAGAATAATAACAGAGTTACAAATTTATGGGTATTAGTCTGACATAATAAAAATACAAACTAATTTACTGTTAATTGTTATTTCAATTGTGCAATGAATTGAAATTAAACATTGTACAGATGCAAGTAATTTTACATGTTAGGGAAGTTTGAATGTGGAGTAGGTGTTGGAACAGGAGTTGTTTGAATGAATTTGTGGACGAGGATTGACGCATGGAAGTAGGAAGTGAGTTCCATAAGGAAGCAGCACGAGTGACGAAGGAGGAAGTTTTATGGGAGGGAATATATAAGTCTATAGGTTGAGACCTAGTATTGAGAGAGTGGATAGAGGAGTGTAGAGTAAGGAGTTCCAGGATGTAGGGAGGGTTTTTGGTTCTGAAGACTTGGAAAAGGAAAACACCAAGGAGGAATTGTCGTCAGGAAGTAGGATAAAGCCACTTCAACTCGTTGTACCAGAGTGAAACATGTGAACCCCTGGGGATCCCGAAAATGTATCTTATAAAACAATTCATGAGTCTCTTTAGTCTTATTTCCAGCCTGGCAGATAGCCCTCCATACACCAAATAGCAGTAGTCGAAGTGGGGGAAGACAAGGGAGGTTACAAGGGTCTGTCTGGTTTTTAGAGGAATACAATCACGGAATCTTAGGAGTTGTTTAAGGGCAGTTATATATATATGTTGTAAAATAAAAGTATGTTGTTATTATTACATTTGTTTCTGTCTATTTCAATTTCTATAAATATGAATACGAAGATAGGTATGATCAGTGCGTTATCAGAATTATCACTGTTCAGGTTATAAACATTAGCAGATAGCAGTCCATCACAACCGCATAGGACACAGGTACCCTTTTTCTTTTCTAATATATCAAGTCAAATAAGACTAAACTGTTTACCTTGCCTTATTTTATGTATTCTATCATTCAAATATAACTTGATCACTCAAGATTGTTATTTATAAGCACTCAAGAAATTATTTTATTTTATTTTGTAAGTTTTTATATTATACATAGTTTAAAATCAATTGATGTAATTTGATGTGTATGTTATTCTAGTTTAAATGATCTGATTATATAGTAATTGATATTGCACTCCATCTCTTGAACTCCATTTTAGATTGAAATCGTTTTTTGATTTGTAGGCTTACAGTGATGATGGATCTCTCCTTCCCAATTGGTTGATATTTCGAGAAAAAACAGGTGTCATGGAAGGTGTTCCTACTAATGAAGATCTTGGTGAACATTACATCATGGTTAAAGCGTTTGATGAAGACTTTCATGGTTTTGTAAAAGATGTATTTGCTCTTGAGGTTTTATCAAAAGCTGATTTTCGTCATAGGATCAATGTAACTTTTCTTATTTTTATATTGTTATATGATCCCCTTTTTATGTATAAGAAATAATTTAATATAAATTTTTTTTTTATGGTTCTATTCTAAATTTTACATATACAAATTAATGTAACTCTAAACCATCTTAACATCAACCCATTTAATTTTTGGTGATACTATCAATGCAGTTTGTTGTTATAAAAAAATCATTTGCCTATTATCTGAGGGATACTGTTTTATCCCCCATATGATAATGCAAATATAATTTTGTTCTTGTGAAAAGTTTTTTAAAATTATATAATTATATTCAAATAATCAAAACGATTCCACCGATCTACATGAAAATTATCAGGGATTAAGGGCCCCATACACTACACGAATTGATTCAAACCCACTTTCATAAACAAATAAGAACCAAAGATACATGATAAAAATATTTGAGAATTTTTCTTTATTTTTAACTTATAAATGATTGAGATCTAAAAGTTATTGATATGGGTTGGAAGAGCATTAATTCAGCTGTCCAACGATTGCTCTGACGTTGAATTTGGAGGTAATCCTGATAAGTTATGCATGCCTTAGTTAACAGCCAGTAAATCAATTACTAAAATTTACAATTTTTAATTTCTATGAAGGTTTTATTTAAGTGTTTTAAAGGATACTTAAAATTAATTTAACTTGATTTTTAATAACAAAAGTTTACTTGACCTTCTTTACTGGAAGTGCTTTAGGTTTTTTTAATTTATGATTTATTATATCTCATTTAATACCATTAACAATATTTTTTCTTATTTACAAAAAAAAAAAAATCGATTTGTATATAATAACCTAAAAATCCAGGCAAAGTAAAGGCAAATAAAATAACATGCATTTTTAAAAAATTATATAAGATAATTTGTTTCTTGTCATAGGTCACCCATTATGATCTTTATATTATTTCTTTGTAGAGAATTGAGTGCTCTCTCTTGGTGTATGTAGAAACACATCTTTTCATCATCAGCTTGTTCTGTAGATACATAAACAGAAAGCATAGTTATATTCCTAAATTTTCATCTCAAACTGATTTTAAAAAGTGTCTTATCAATTGGTACAAACACCATTAAACTACTTTGCATTTTTATGGTTATAATAAATCTGGTTCCCTTCTGTCCCATTTTTGTCGCTCAGCTTTACAGACTACAATGGTAGTGGTTCAATTAAGGTGATAGATGTTCGAAGTCGAGGAACGAATGAATCATTGAAAAGAAAATAATTGAATAAACATTAGGGGGTGAGGTAATGTTTAATTTTTAATTGAAAATATTGATAAATATTTTTACGTGAATGTAACAATATTCTTTACTTATAATATACTTTTTTTACTTTATTTTCGATGGCACTACGGTCCTTGCAGAACCCTGGCCTGATCCACAATCCTCCGCCATTCATCTCTCTCCGAAGCTGCTCTTCTCCACCTTCGGACTCCAAGTGTCCTCAGGTCCTCCTCCACGTCCTTCAGCCACCACAATCTGGGACGCCCTCTTCTTTGTCCTCCACCTGGGTATTCCTCCAGAAGCTTCTTCAGGATACTCTGCTCCTCCATCCTCTGAAAATACCCCAGCCACCTAATTCTACTCTTCTTGATGCAGGTGACAATATCCGGGGCCTTGTATAGATCACGGAGCTCCTGATTGTTCCTCTGCCTCCTCCGATCTCCCTCTCTCAAAGGGCCAAAAATCCTTCTCAGGACTTTCCTCTCCCACACGTTCAGAACTTGTTCTAACTTCCCTGGTGAGGACACATGTCTCACTTCCATATGTCACCACTGGTCTAATAACGCTAACATATACTGCCTTCTTTGACTGCCAGGGCAACACCTTTGACCTAAGTACTTTTCCGAGTGCCCAGCAACATCTATTTTCAGCCATCATGCGTGACTTTATTTCTGCCTGTATTTCATTCTTTTTGTTTACATTGGCTCCAAGATATTTTAACTCCTGTACCTGCTCTAAAAAGTATTCTCCAGTTCTAAGACCGTTCCTTACCCCACAATCATCCCGGGAGGTCTTCATGTATTTAGTTTTGGCTTCATTAATATTGAATCCTGCCATTTTTGAGGCCTATTCACATTCCTCGAAAGCTCCTATTAAGGATGCACGTGTGCGACCAGTAATGACGTCATCCGCCAAAGCAAGATGCTGTGTCAATCGATTATAGATGATTCTCCCAGGATTTGTTCTAATCGCTCTTATCACTATTTCCAAAACAATGTTGAATAGAATGGGAGATAGGGAGTCACCTTGTCTTAATCCTTTGTTGATATGGAAGCTACTGGATCTTGCACTTTGTAATTTTACTCTTCCTTGTGTCCCTTCCAAGGTCGCACGCACTAATCGTATCAGTTTTTCCCACCTTACCATAGGCACCTTTGCCATGATACGACTTGCCTCGGTCTACATTGTCATATGCTTGCTTGTAGTCTATAAAGAGTATGTACATAGCATTTCCCAACATGATCCTTATGCTTGAAATATGGTCTATAGTTGATCATCTACCCTTTTTTAATCCATTCTGGTATTCCCCGACCTCTCTCTCGGAGTACTGGAGTGTCCTGCTCATCAACAGAATGGAGAAAACTTTGTATGCTGTGTTTAGCAATGCAATGCCTCTGTAGTTTTCACATTCCACCTTGTCCCCCTTCTTATAAACAGGGCATATCAATGCAGTGCACCAGTCTTTTAGCTCCTCTTCTGATATCCAGATGTCACATTTCCTTGACCAATGCTTCTCCATGCTTCCACAGCTATGCAGGAATCTCATTCTCTCCTGGGGCCTTGTAGTTTTTTAGGGATGCAAGAACTTCTGCAACCTCTTCCTTCTCTGGAGGTTCTATAACATCTGTATTTATATGTGTCGATCCGATGTACCTAGGTGGGCTTGAAATGGCTTCTTCAGACATTTCCGGGTTTAGGAGCTTCTCAAAATATTGAGACAACCTATTAACAACATCCAGTGGGTCTCCCAGCAGCTCGTCATTATTGTTCTTTATAAAGCCTATCCTTGGCTTGAAAGTTTCCCTTTTGTTCTTTGAGGATACTGAAGAACTTCGTTCTATTTCTCTTCCCATACTCTTCTTTCATTTGAAGGAACTTGACTTTTTCTGGGTCTCACTTTTTTTTTTTCTGCACATGGTCTTGACTCTTCTCTTTTGGGCTTTATGCCTTTCAACATTTGCTCTGGACCTTCTTTGAAGCACTGCTAGTTTGGTCCTATTTCTTTCCTCTACCATCCTCATGCATTCCTCATCAAACCATGTGGTCTGAGGATTCCCATGATTTATTAATAGGGTCTCATTAGCTGTCTCTGTAAACACTTTCTTCATCTTGCTCCATCTAGTTTCTACACCTTTGTTTCCATCTATAGATTCTTGTAGCTTTACAGTCACCCATTCTGCCCCATAGTCGGACGGGTATAAAGTGGACCTTTATTTCAGCATCTCCTCATTTCGGTGGTGTTTGGGAGGCAGCTATTAAATCCGCTAAGATACACCTTCTTGCCGTTCTCCAGGATCATGTGAGGAATTTTATACTCTTCTAGTACGTGTTAAAGCCGTTCTCAATTCCCGCCCTATCTGTAATATTAGCAGTCAGCCTTCGAATAACCTGGATTACCTCACCCCAGGATACTTTCTTATAGGTCAACCCCTTCTAGCCAGACCAGACAAGAAGACACAACTGTATTTTCATTGACAAGCTGTTGGGGGATGATTTACAAGACTCTTCATAATTTTTGGAAGAGATGGTATAATTAGTACCTCTACAATCTGGTGCCTTGCAACAATTGGTATACTGATGAAAGATTTAAAAGAGGGAATCCTTGTTATTCTACATGAATAAGATGTTCCACTGCTAGAGTGGCGGCTTGCCAGGATAATAGAGACACTTCCATTGCCTGACAGTGTAGTTAGGGTGGTAAAATTGAGGACTGCTATAGCCACTTTGGTGCAACCGGTGCACAAGTTAGTGCCTCTCCCTTCTGGAGAAACCTTTTATCGATATATATATATATATATATTTTTTTTTTCTTAAATTTAATGAGAAGTCGTTTTATTTTAAATGAATTGTAATTTATTACCCTATCTTTGATCTGTCTCATTTTATTTCTAATTTTCCAAAAATCTATTTTTAATAATTTCTCTTTCTTTATTGTAAACCAAGCAATTTTCCTCTCGTTTGTGCCTTGTCTGGTAATTACTAATCTCTGAGTTTGATTTTTGTATGTGAAATGAGATATTTCACTGTGGGGGATATGTTTTGTACAAAGCTAATTGTGTTGAGGCGATTGGTGGATTTTTGTATGTGAAATGAGATATTTGACTGTGGGGGATATGTTTTGTACAAAGCTAATTGTGTTGAGGCGATTGGTGGATTTTTGTATGTGAAATGAGATATTTCACTGTGGGGGATATGTTTTGTACAAAGCTAATTGTGTTGAGATCAGATAAGAGGCAGATCAGATAAGATCTGAAGATAAAATTTAATCCCTGCTAGCTACCAGTAACACTGGCCCCACTCCATCACAGATCTATCCAGAGGCTACAACTGCAGCACAGACTGGAGGGGGCCCTCACGGTTAAATATGGTGTCTATGCCAGCATAGGAGGGTTAGTTGTTTGCCTTAATTAAATTAAAATTGGAAAGTCCCTAAACAGCGCTACATGAAATAAGGCATTGTTCTGTGAGCAGAGAGTGCCCCATGCTCTTGTCAAATATGATGGAATTATAGAGAACACCCTCTACACTTAGTGGCGGCTCTTCCTCTAAACTCCTACTGATGGAAGGTCCTGCTGGTTTCTCAGAGCCACAGGGCTGAAAAGAGAATATTAAGGCACAGTCCCTCTATTTACGGTGTACAGCTGTGCATTGGACTGTGTCAGAGGAAAACTTTATTTTTATTGTTCCTCGAAATAAATACATACCCTAAAGCAGGGGTCTCCTAACTACGGCCCACAGGCACCTTCAATCTGGCCTGCAAAGGTTTTTTGATTATTTGGTAAAATTTTAAATTTAGCAAATTACTCTCACACAAGGTTACTACAATATTTATTGTATGTTTTTTCCTGTTAAAAAGCTCATTTCACTGCGTCAAGTGTCATTTATAGAACTTTTTTTTTTCATTTCAAGCCATGGCTCGTGGGGCTTAGTCGAGCAGGCAGAACCTGGTCGACGTCTCAATGTGGTCTGCGGGGCAAAAAGTTTGGAGACCCCTACCCTAAAGCATGTATAAAATGAAGAACAATAACAAATAAAAGGAGTATAATTGGTGGCATTGGCATGCACAAAATCTGTGTGCACTACCACACTGCTGCTGAGAATCCTGTATGCCAGAAATGGCTAGGTAGGTGAAATAAAAAAAAGTTGTGTTCCATTGTTTGCTGGGTTATTTTATTTACTTTCGGAATCCACTCTTCCATGATTTTTTCTTCCTTCAAACATTTAGGAGCAGGGTAACCGAGCTGGCTAACATATGTACACAACAGTCTGCATTGCATGGCAACCTGATAACCAAAGTTGGAGATAGTAAAATAATTTTGAGTTCGCATTCTGGATGAGGAGGGTGGCTTTTAACTCTGGCAGTAATCCCCACCCTCACTCCCTGACCCGAGAAAACCCCCGTATAGACTAAAAGATGAGGTAGTGGAGAAGAAAAAAAAATTTATTTGCCTTATTATTTTGTTTATTTTTTTATTTTCTGTTATACTTTTATTTTTAATAACCTATTATGTTTCAAGTATTTATTTTAATGTATGGCCACACTATGTTTTATTTAACAACCCTTTATAACATTAATCCTAGGCTAATCAAATTATTTTTCATTTACAATTAACAGACATACCCAAATCTAATATGTAAAATTAAAAAATCTTTTCCTTTCTAATTTAAACTTCCTCCCTACTCATAAGATCTATAAATTTAAATTTATAAACATTTAAACCAGGATTTTAAATTTCATTTAGTTAAAAAAAATGTTTTTGTTTCATGTTAAAAACAAAAGTTAATGAGGTAGGGAGTAAAGATGGTAAAGAGTTATCCTTCTTAAAAGGAGTTTAATATGACCAATACATGGAAAGTAGCTTGGAACTCATATGCAGTGCTTAAATGTCAGTTTAGGAACAATAGCCATGTTAAAGCCATAATGTGATAGTATTACGTTATTTAAAGGTTGTTAAACAACCTAGTCTAACAATTAAAAGAGATGCTTATGATGTACTAGCACAACTCTGGTAATGACAATTAGTTAACAGGTACAAAATCTTATCTCTGGATACAATTTATATTCAATGTGATGAGAAATACCTCCTTTACCTTCTGTAAATGGCAAGAATATGGAAAGTGATTTCCGTATCTTTCAGTACCACCACACACCATAATTACTTGTGTAATTAAAAGTTTTGCAAAAAGTAGAAATGCTGTTGCTTATGGCACTATTTTTATATTTATCTTAACTAAACTGCTGTATATTTAGTTTTTTATGAATATTTATTTTTAAATTTACTATTTTTCAGAATAATTGTAATGAAAAGATGTTATTTTCAATTATATTGGATGCTGATGATGAAATATTAACTCCTTTGAAAAGGATTAATTTAATCAAAGCACTTTCAGAACATTTTAAAATTATTGCTGTAAGTATATTCTTTTGGAAAGTTGCTAATATTGTGTGTTTTACATTTTGTCTGTGATTTTAAAGTGATAACATTAATTCTTTTATGTTTTAAAGGACAGTATCTATTTGGCTTCTTTGAAAGGGAAAGATAAATTATTAAACTCTGATATTCTCAATGCTGGTCCAGGTGATGTAAAAAAAATAAAATTAAACTCCTCTTCATCACTAAATTTCGAGGTATTTGTTTTACTTTACCATTACTCAGGAATTAATTTTAAATGTTATTTATTTATTTTAAAAATTTCATAGTAAATATAATGTCTCACATACACCATAGTACATCAATGATGTCCTTGAGCATTTTTGGATATTTACATTTACTCTCTTTTTACATGATAATGTGTGACATCAAATTGTTCACATTGTAACTCAACCTTACTCTTAAGTGCCTAATCTAGATTCCCAATCCTGTCAGATATCATTAGGCTTAACTTGGGGAGACACATGGTCGGAGGATAAGGCAGAATAGGGATGGATCTCTGTGAGAAATAATTTTTTTTAAAAGTAAATTGTACAAAAAATTTATAATGCTTCAAGAAATTGGTTGAATGAGTGGTATCTTAAATTTTGAAATATTATTCTTATTGCTAATATTTGTTTGAAGTCACTCAATCGTCAAGGGATCACATATACCCAAATTTGTGGAGATACCGATATTCCAAAGACTGATATGTCAGCGTTTCAGCTTTATTTCATCAAGATTAGTAAAGTTTCACTATTCTATTTATTGCTGAATTGACATTTCAATCAATCACCTTGGGGTCAACCTATATAAATACATGAACTGATAATACTATTCTAAAGATCGACCATAAAATATTTATTTTGTTTTATTTTATTTTTTAAGGTATTGTTATATAAATTCTTTAAAACTAATAAATAAAACTTCCATTCAACTCTCAAATGTAGAATCACTACCCTTAGCATTAATTGAACCTATTGCTATAGCCTTAAGACTGATATGGCTGATATATTTATTTTCCTTAATGGGAAAAAAAATTATCTCTATATTGGCAGAATGGTGACCGACCTGGAAATGGGAAAAGTCAGGGAGTTTTAAAAACAGAGAGAAGTCAGGGAATTTTTTTAGTACGTAAGTAATGCTAAGTATTTTTTTTTTTTATTGAATATTAATACATTTTGCCACATTGAAGGGAATTAATATTAAGGCTACATGATTCATTCACACAATATGTACATACAATTAATATCAATAATAAAGAGAAAGAAATATAAAAAAAAATAAAATAAGTAAATTGGTATGCCTGTGTACAAAAAAAAATAATGAAATAATAGATAAAAGCTAGATGAAATTAAAGTAAATAAATCACATTCACACCTATGTACAATATTTACATTCACCCAGGAGACTCTGAGTCATGCCTCATTCTCCGACGTGGAAGCCAAGGCAGGACTCAAGGAGATCCCAGTGCTTCTCTCTCAGCCGCATCACTGTTATTTGAAACCAGTGGAAACTGATGGAGGGCACTATAGCAACAGACGCTCATGTCTTGAGTGGAGAATCTGGCCATTGCCAGTACTCCAATATATACATATTTACAAAAGGTCGCGGGGCCACTGCCATTTTAACCTCCGGGGAGGATTGTAGGGATGACTGGAGCTAGATAGGGATTGTGCTACAGGATTTGGATGATGAATGAGTTTCTGGTGAAATTTTTCTGGGATTAGGTCAATAACAAATGGCATATGAATGTCATTATGGAGGGTTTTGTTGGATACATAGAAGGGAGCATCAACTATTGTTCGAAGGATTTTAGACTGGAAGGATTGAATGCGTTTGATGTTAGAAAGTTTTGCTGTCCCCCACAGTTCTATTCCGTAGGTCCAAATAGGTTTCAGGATTGTCTTGTAGATTAATAGTTTGTTGTCGACTGAGAGTTGAGATTTTCTATTCAATAGTCTATATAGTTGTCCGTATCGTCTGTTAAGTTGTTGTCTTTTAAGTCTGGTGTGTGGGTTCCATGTTAGTCTTTTGTCTAGAATAAAGCCAAGATACCGGACTGTGTCGGACAGAGGAAGTGGTATGGAGTTGAAGTAGACTGGTGGACAGGAATTGCGTCGAAGGGTAAAAGTAATATGTTTGGATTTGGATTCATTTACTTGGATTCGCCACTTATTACACCAGTGTTCAATAAGAGAGAGGTGACTTTGTAGGTTTAAGGATGCTATTTCAGGATCTGGATTGGAAGATAAGATGGCTGTGTCATCAGCGAATGTTGCCAGGATTGTTTCAGGATGAGTAGGAATATCAGCGGTAAACAGAATGTAGAGGACGGAACCCAAGACGCTGCCTTGAGGAACTCCCGCCTTGATTGGAGGATTCTGTACCATAGCGAACTTGAAAGGAGCGGTCAGAGAGGTAGGATCGGAGGATAAGATATAAGGAATGGGGTAGATGGGATTTGAGCTTGAAGAGCAGTCCGGCGTGCCATACCCGATCAAAAGCTTGCGCAATGTCCAGGAATGCCCCCGAACAGTACTCTTTGCTTTCTAGGGCTGAGGATATGTGGTCAACAAGTCGGAGTCCTTGTTGGACAGTGGAATGTTGGAAGCGAAATCCAAATTGGTGGGTTGGAAGGTTTTGGGATTCTATTATGGGTAGGATTTTTCAAAAATTTTGGAAAGGATTGGGAGTAGGCTAATTGGTCTATATGATGATGTATTATTGGAAGGTTTGCCAGGTTTCAAGAAAAGGACGATGGTGGAATGTTTCCATAAGAGAGGAAAATGGGTAGTTCTTAGGATGCAGTTGTATATGTATGTGAGGAATATGATTGCTTTGGGTGGTAGTTGATGAAGGATCTGTGGGGTTAGAAGGTCGTATCCAGGAGATTTGCGGGAAGATAGTTTTTGTAAATGATATTTGACCTCAGTTGGATGAACTGCTTTTGGTGGTAAAGAGAGTGGAATTGGTGAAGAAAGGAATTCTTCTACTATTGTAGTGTGGGTCGGATTGGATTCGGGATGAGGAGTAAATGTACTGGAAAGGTGTTTGGCGAATTCCTCAGCTTTGTCTTCATCAGACGCCACCCAGGAGCCATCACTTCGACGGAGGGGATGGGAAATATTATGGGTTTTTAGGATTTTTTTTGTGATATTCCAGAGGGAGTTGTCGTGAGCAGAGAGGGAGGTAAGGAAGGAGTTAAAGGATTGGGATTTAAAGTTGGATAATTCTTGCTTTAGTTGTTTACAGAGATAGTTATAGGAGCTGCAGTCAGTGGGATGTCTGGTACGTTGCCATAACAATCTGGCACGGCGTTTGGTATGGATTAGGTCGAGGATGTGATGAGGTAATTTATTTTTCTTTGGAGTTCTAGGGGAATGATTAGGAGAGGAGACAGTCCAGACTGCTTGTTGAATGATGGTGGTTAAGGAATGTACAGCATTGTCAAGGTCTTCTGGGGTTTTCAGGGTTATTCTGAGGTCAATTTGATGGAAGAGTTTCCAGTTGACTGGGCCTCTGATGAAGGACGGTGGAGATGGTTTGGGAATAGGAGCTAGTGATACTTGGAATATTAATGGACTGTGGTCTGAGGAAAGTTCATCAAGGCGTGCAATGGAATAGTTTAGGGGACCTAAACCATTATGGATGAAGAAACAAGGATATCGGGATTACGGTTAGGATCAGTGGTGAGTTCGGGGGAGCGAGGTTGAAATATTGGGAGTTGAGTGCAGACAGCAGTGTTCGACATTGAGAATTCGTTGTTCTAGAACCCCATTGCTGATGCTTGGCGTTTAAGTCTGCACCCAGGATGAAATGGTGTCCTAAGGAATTAAGGAAGGAACTAAATTGGATATTAGAGGTGGATTGGTTGGGAGGGCAATACGCTGATGCTAGGGTAATAGGAAACGAGAAGGTTTTGATTATGATAGCGGTTGGATTGTAGGAAATCGTGAGTAGGTGATGAGAGAGGGATTGGTGTACAATAACTGCAGTGCCGGCATGAGCTCTACCGTCTGGATGGTCAGTACGAAATGTTGAGTACTGAGGTATATTTAAAATTTGTTTTTTGGTCAGTCGAGTTTCTGTAATAAGGGCTACATCGATGTTCTTATCTCGCAATAAAGCTGTTAGTTCGTCAGTGTGGTTTCTAACACCATTTGCATTCCAAAGGAGAATGGATAGGGGTTTGATGGAATTCATTTAAGGATTTTTTAAAGGAGGGATGAGATGAGATACGAGATTTGTAAGGAGAGATATCAGTGGGGTGACGAGGGATTCGAATTCGGTGAGAAAAGATGCCAACAAACTGGTAAGATCAGTGGCTTGTGATGGAGGAGGAATATAAGGAATGTGATGTTGATGAGGTTGTTGAGAGTTTTGTACATTAGGAGGGATAGGGTGTTGGAGTTGGGATTGGGGTTCCTGTTGGCAGGGCCTCACATTTATCAGTCAGGACTCTACCCCCTAGTAACTGAGAATAAGATACTCTAGAGTCTACTATTTTAGCTGGCCCTCTTTTGGGTTTAGAAGTTTCTTCTGTGTTCTGGGGTTTACGAAATTTATTTTTGATATTTTTATACACCTGGCAGCCCTTGTAATTAGCAGGATGTCCTTCTAAGCATAAAGCACATACTGCAGGAGTAGTTTTCAATTTCTTGCACTCACCAGTCTTGTGTGACTCTCCGCATTTCACGCATCTTGGGATGTGGTGGCAGTATCTTTTAGTGTATGGTTTTTCAACCTTGACACTTGTATAATATAATCTGTTGATTTCATATATTTTTTTCGACTCCTGCTGAGGGTTCTAAATCGATGAAAAATAGAGGTAATGCTATCTTTCTATTATTTGCTCCAGAAACGTCTCTGTCGTCCTTCATAACATTGGTGACCTGTCGAACTTTGAAACATAGGGTCAATTCTTCTTGGATCGCCTCAACTGGAGTAGAGGGATGTAAATTTCGCATTACTACCCTCAAGGAACGCTCTTGCCTCAATTGGTAGGTGTGAAAGTCTGCCTTTGTGTCTGATAAATATTTAATTATTTGGCGGTATGCATCAGCTGTGCCAGGGGATATTTTAATATCGTTAGTGCTGCTTAAGCAGGAGTAGCTACCAGGAAGTGTGATTTTGTTTAACTGGGTGCATAGTAAAGAGAAATTTTTTAGATTTTTAACGAAAATTGGAGGTGGTCTGGGGTCTCTGGGAATGGATG